ATGCATTGCACGCATAGGACATTTTGCCGCTTGTCGACAAACACCTTGTCGTGATTTTCTATGCCATGTTCGTCCGTCCTCATCAATAAAACCTCGTTGAATACTACGTTCAATTTTATTTCCATTGTGTGGGGGTAGGGTTCTCTCTCGGCTTCGTTCCGCACATATAGCACGTGGAAGAACGCACTTTTTTTCGATATGTGCTGCTGCTCTTGCACCGCTTTTCCGACTGTGCACAATGGAAATGAACACGTTGACGACCAAATGGGTGATCAGAACGGGATAGAAAGCTACATAAAATTGGAAAGGAAAAAAAGGTTACTTTCTTTTTAATCCATATGAAGAACCTTTGAGCATCTGCCTAAATGGTCTTGCTTACAGGCGAACTATTTCATCAATTGGTATTTTAAAAAAATGTTTTTTTTATTTTCCACCAAAAAGTTAGAAGGGACAATTTTTGTTTAAACAAATCAGCCTAAAAAGGGGATGACAATAAGATGACAATAAAGATGCAATGAAATGGAGTCACATTCACGTAGCAAAGGAAAGCGATTGGGAAGATTAATAATGATTTAATTACCTCATTATTGTTGTTTTTTTTTTCTTTTTTTTTTCTGTTGTTTCTTGATAAAAATAAACACATATCTATAAAGCATTTAATTCGGTTTACAAATGAATAATGAGCATGCCAACGTACACATACGTACATGCGTGTGTACATACAGGTGTGCCTCCAAAGAGGTACACATATTCATGGCACACATGGAAAGGGATAAATCTACATATTTATTAACATAAATTGGTAAAAGAATGAAAAGAAAAAAAAAAAACACAACGTAACATAACGTAGCGCAATTCGGAAAAATTGCATATTATATATACATGTGCAGAAATGCACCTAAGTTTGAAACAATTTTCAAATAAGATACAGAAAAAAAAAAAATTGCCGCTGCTTCTTAATTTGCTTCTCCCAGCGTGACACAATTCACATATCAACATGAAAGTGCGCCACGTCAAAGTCGATTTCGACGTATTCCTCCAGTGTGATTGGGGCGAGCTTTTTATACTTCCTCTTGACATTATACACATGAAAGTCACTCCTGCAGTGCAACTTGTAGTTGCTTTTTTCAATTTTCGTCAAGCAACTTGTACACATGATTACGTTTTCGTTGTTTGGCTTGTCACTTGGTTCTTCCTTACTTTTCTGTTGTGCAGCGTTTGGAGCGTCTTCGTGTTTGCTGTTATTACAGCTGTTGTTGTTGACGTTGTCGTCGATAACTTTGTCGTTATCATTCCTGTTAGTGCTCTTGTTGGCCTGGTGGGGGTGGTCACTGCGCACGTCCCCCGCGTTCTTTGCATTTTCAGCGTCGTGATTGGCTTGTTCCTCTCGGCAACTGTTGCCTTTGGCGTTGTCTCTTCTACGATTACCCTTGCTGCTTGTACCACCGTTTAGGTTATCTCCCCCCATTTGGCGGTTGTCCTTGCTTTTAACTGTCCTCCCCATTGCTTCATTCACATTAACCTTCTCACCAGTCATTGAATTTTCCGCATTGCTCCTCCTCTTCTTATTCGAGGTGACTATCTTAACGTTATTATTCAAAAGTTTGCTGGAACAGTTCTTCTTATATTTTTTGGTAAAAGCATCCACACATCTATACACACATGGGTAGCATAAAAATACAATTCTATGCATTCCTAGATTTTTTTCCTTCCTTTCTTTTTCGTTTTTATTCTTTTTTTGTTTCGTTTTTAGTTTAACGTCAAGGTTAATGGGATCGATTTCTATCTTCTCATCCTTCCGTCGGCATATTTCACCTTTTGTGTTTTGTTTTTGTTTCTCCTCGTTGAAGGTGCTGTGTAACAGGTCGTTTATTTCTTTTTTCGAAATAGATTCACTTTTTTCCTTTTCATGTGTGTAATTTTCGCCAGTTTCGTGATTCGTCTCATGTTCCGCGTTGTCCTCGTGTTCCCCTTTATTCGACTTGGGTGTGGAACTGTCCTCTACAGGGGTATCTTTGTGATCGCTCCTGAGGTGGGTGCTACCTGCATCGTTGTTACAGCATTCTCTACTGCTTGCATTATGACCACCAACGTTTTTGTTGCTGTACTTCTCCTCCTTCTCTTTCTCTTCATCTTGCTCCCTGGCGTTTTTGCCCGCACTATCCGCAGCAATTGAATCGCTCATCACTTTTGCATTTTCTCCAAATTCTTCCTTCGCTGGTTCGATGACCGCGTCATTTTCATTTTCGCCTGTGTTAATTGCATACATGCCATTTTCTCCTTCCTCATTTTTAGGTAAGTGGGCAAATTCATCATGCACATGACTACTTTTAGGATCTACATTGTCCTCTCTCTTAACGTTGTTGGTTAATTTTTGTTCTTCTATGATGGCATTATTGCTATTAAGAAATTTTATTACGTCGTCTTTTATATAATCATCACAAATTATTTGGATTCGCATGAATGCCCGCTGAATGACGTCATCATATTCTTTACTTAAAATGTCAAAAACTTTTAGCGCCTGCTTCTTTGCGCTGTCGTCCATGTTTATGCTGTAGCCAATATTTTTGACCAGGCCTATGTTGGGGGTAGCACATTTGGGGGGGAGGGGGGAATTAACATGGTATGTGCGCGAGTGGGCGGTTAGAAGTGCCTCCCACATGTCTACACGTACATATGAAGACATATATATATATATTTACATATGTGCACATGGCTTCCCCCACTGCATGGTCTTACTTTCTATCATGTTGGTTGAGAGGGGATAACCCGTTTGGGGGTTCACACTCATTTCGTGCAGAATCTCAATCATGTCTTTGTAAATTTTTTCTTTCATAATTGACCTCTCTTTGTTGCTTATTTGAAGGGTGCCTATAAAAGATGGAACAAATTGTTTCGTGAGGGGGCGTAACCTTTGGAGGGGCCCAACAATGGCCACGTGATTAAAATGCAAAAGCGAACATGGAGGACAGGCACCGTCTTTTTTACCTTTCTCTAAAATCGTTTTGCATATTTCGTAGTTGTTGTCTGAGTTGAAGCAAGAATTCAGTTCCGACTTTTTGGCTATTTCTCCCTTGGACACGTTGGTAAAAATTAAGTGTGACTGCAGCACGTCGTCTATGTTGAGCTCGATTCCTTCGGGGGGGGAGAAGCCGGGGGAGGTGAGAAGTAAGAAGGATGTGCGCGAAATATAGGCGGAATAGACGCGGGATATACACGGAATGGAAGCTGGTTAAGTGCGTCGGCCATATGAATATACAATGTGCCAGTGAAGAGAGGAATTTTCTCTCTTCCCTTTTCATTTTCGTCCCCGTCTGGAAGATACGGCTTACCATTCTTCCAGTCGATTATCTTGTTCTTGTAACAGGCAATTTCGAACTTCTTCCCTTTGTGCTTATACTTCACTATAGCAACATTTGTGAACTTCACTTGGTTTATCGGCTGGAAGAGTGCCCCCATTGTTACATCATGTTTGGCAATACGGCGGTGAAGTGCGTTTCAGTGGGCATCGGGGAAGTGCGATTTGGTGTGTTACAGAAGACGCCGCAAGTTTATACGCGTAAACACGTACATATGTATATAATCAGCGCGTCCACTTTCGCAACCCCCCTTCGGGCGTAAGTCACCTTGCGCGCAGGAAAATATATCCAGTTGTACACACGTTACGGTGTCCCTCTGTCCATGCGTTCATACGCATGCGGAGGTTTCCACATAAAATCATAAGTTAATTTGTCTTAGGGCAACAAACGCGCAGTAATTAACGAATACATAAGGTATCTGCTGGGGGTCGGGGATGTCGGTATACTTTTTAAAATCGGCTTTTTTTTTTTTTCTTTTTTTTTGTTTAATATGTAAGTGTATAGATGCACGTAAGTATAACCCCCTACTCGCGCATGTAATTACAAATATGTACATCCATAGGTACATCCACAGGTACGTCCGTATGTACATCCATGCGAGCATACCTTTTCTTCCCCTCGTAATGTTCTTTTTTTACGGGAAGAAATATCTCATTTCAAATATCATGGCAAATTTTACGTTTTACAGACAAATTTTAATTCATTTCCACTTTTTTTTTTTTTTTTTTTTTAATTATAACACCTTCCTTAATTTGTCATTCATAAATATGTTTCACAGAAGCGCACGACAAATTCTCGTATTTAAGTTTTTAGAAATGGTGAGGCATTTGGCCATTTTGTTTGTTTCCGTTTT